AAGGTAACTTTCAGAAAGCAAATGTGGTTCCTCTCTGTTATGAACTATTTCAACCTGATTACTACTACTAGCTTCATTCCTATTATCACCTTCTCCGTGGTTATACCAGATATAGTAATGTGGAGTAAATCCTCTATTTACTATATGTTTCCAAACCGTTTCACTAGCAGCAAACTTCGTATTGTTGCATTTACGACAAAGACATAACATTTTACCCGTTTCCTTTGTGAGAGACGTTTGTCCGGCCTGGTTCATGAACATATCTGCTCCGTTGAGAAATTCATCGGTTACTATTCCTCTTGAATCTTTATGTGCATACATCCACCTCCGGATCTCATAAATATTTCTAGACATTTTTTAAAAAAGTTTTCTGTTTTTTTTTTCCCGTTTTAAGAATGAAGAAGAAGATCATATTTATAGAGAAATTTTGATTTTGGTAGGTAGTTAACTTAGTAGTTAAACAGATGCAAAATGGATGCAAAAGAATTAGTCGTAATCTGGTAGCACTTTTACGACCAATTTACAACCAAATAGTAGTTCATTGGTGGTAAAATATATTAGATGTATATTACTCGTAAATTTACAACCAATGAGTGGCAATTTTACGACCAATTTACAACCAAATAGTAGTTAATTGGTGGTAAAATATATTAGATGTATATTAGTCGTAAATTTACAACCAATGAGTGACAAATGGCCTTTACAACCAATTAGGGACTACATTTGTAATATATTTTAATAAAAAGAGAGAAGAAAGACACTGGAATCACAAGTCCATAGGTTCTAAGCGAAACCAACGTTTCAATGTTAGTCCCGCATTAATCTTTTTGGAGTTGTGATCCCAGTGTCTTTTTTTCTCTCTTTTTCTTACATTATTAAACTCTTCGACTCAATTATCAACTCTCTTTATTAATATATTTCAAATATTAGTTTAGAAATATTTGGAAAAGAAGAGAAGAAAGATACTAGAATCATAATTCCGTGGATTCTATGCGAAACCAATGTTTCAACGTTCGTCTCGCATTGATCTCTTCGGAGTTTTGATCCAAGTACCTTTCTCTCTTCTTTTTCAAATCTTTCAACACTATATCTAAAATATTTTAAAATTTTTGTTTGTCTTTTGGGAGAAAACGATGGTTCTTTTATAGGGGACATTACGACTACTTAGCTTCGAATTTTTACGACTAATTAGCATCTCGTACCATCATTTAGTCGTAATCGAGTCGTACATTACGACCAAAAGCCTTGACCGAAATCCTAAACACGTGTAGTCGTACACTAGTCGTAACTTAACGACCAGAGTACGTTTACACGGACATGTAGTCGTATATTGGTCGTTATGTTACGACTAATGTTCGTCTATTTTTATTGGTAGCAAGTTAACCTCTGAGTTACGACTAATGCTTTTTAGACGTAATGTAGTCGTAAATGCGATGTAAAATTACGACTACACATCTGTAGTCGTAATCCCTAGTCGCTATGACAACGTTTTCTTGTAGTGTAAGTACATTTTCTCTGGATATATTGATGAACGGAAACATTATATTTACCTGGAAGCTGAGAACTTGTTAGCTAATCCAATTAGCTGGGTTTGATTACGAAACCGGAATCCCTCTGCAGACAATTTAGAGAGCGGTTCGGTTATCTCATCAAATCCAGCTGTTTCGCTGAACCGAATCATCAGGGTGGAGTCAGTAAACCGGAAGTTCTGGGCACATCGACACACATCAAAGCGGTGAGTCTCGACTGGAAAGATGGATCACGATTAACAGAGATGGTGGCTTGCATAATCGTGTGGACTGCAAAAGTGAAACAAATAAGTTAGAAGAAAGTTTTAGATTTGGTAGGAATCTGGAAATTTGGCCGGTATTTGGAAACTAAAAACAAACTGATGTATAAGATGGAATCCTTACCACCGCACATGTCAACCCCATAAGCTCACCACCGCGCTTCACATTCCTCGCCTCCCAGTCACGGAGCAGTCGGGCCTCTACAGTGGAGGAGCACCAGCCGGACTTCAAATCTGAGAAAAAAGTCTAGAATTAGTCATTTCAGAGGATTGTATCGTATAAGAGCTATGAGAATGATCTTTTCAGGAAGGAAAGCGAACCTGTTTATACAGGAGATCTACATCGCTCAGAGGAAATGTTGACATGTCGAAGTGGAGATCGTGGGAAGGGAGTAAATGAAAATGATCAATGCTTTCAAAGTTAGGAAATTCAATCGACACCATTGAAGCTTCTGAAGGTTCATGGCGACGGCAACGAAGAGTTCGGGTGTAAACGGATAGGAATTCTGAAAACCTCGACGGCTGAAGAAGAGAAATCGAGCAACCCTAATACACATCTCAGACATTGTTTCAAAGAATACACTTAATGGGCTTTTGGGTTGAGGAAGTATAAAGTTGAGGCCCAAGGAAAATTGTATCCGATTTGATTGTATACGTGGACATTAAGGTGAGATTATTTTATGACATCACTTGCTGAGGTGGGGAAGGAGAAGAGAGTACACCTCTTCTTTATATATAAAGATGTTATTGTTTAATTTATTTTTACAATATAAGTTTAACGATAATAGTAGATGCTATAATTTTTTTAGCAAATCTTCATATTTGAATAGTTAATTGTTATATATATATATATATATATATATATATATTATAACCATATTAGATAATTCTGTAAATTTTATTTAAGGAAATAATGAATAGAATTAATAATAGTTTTATGTTTAGTTTAATAAAAAGTATATTATATGTTTATATGGACCAATATTTTTCTCTAGTAAATTTGAAAAGCATTCTCATAATGACATGTGGCTACTAAAACATGTTATAATGTTTTTCAATTAATATATAAGGGGATATGATAACTATGGTGGTACATACACGATACTGTTGTGAAATATAAGCTCAAGAGATAAGAACAGATTTATTTATTATTTATATTATATATAAGTGGACGTTGGAAAGAGAGGGATAGAGAGCAAATGGTGATCTTGATTATTTATGTATTTGTGTGAATAAACGAGAGGGAGATAAAGATGTGTCAAACTTTCTATTTATAGCATAAAATAAAATGCTTACTCATCTCTTCTTGAGAGATGTAGAGACACGTAGTAATGTCAAGATGATGTTACAACATGGCAAGTGTCTTGTGGATAATTATCATATTATAACTCCCGGTTGATTATCCATCTTGTATTACGTAATGCCTCATTAAAACCTTAGACATGGAAAAACTCATTGGACTAAAACCCATGTAAAAGGAAAAAGAGTACACTGGCGTAATCTCCCCCTGAACATAATGGACATATCTTTTTCTTCATAAGTCACGCAAATGTCACATTCTGATACTGTAGACGTGTTTTTGGAACGTCGTAGTAGGAAGGGCCTTTGTAAACAAATCTGCGGGATTGTCGCATGACCGTATATACTCGATGTCCACTTCTTTATTTTTTTCGAGCTGCCGTATGTACGAGAAAAATCTTGGAGGCATATGTTTTGTTCTGTCGCTCTTAATATAGACTTCTTTAAGTTGAGTAACACACGCCGAATTGTCTTCGAACATTTTCGTCGGCTCTTTCTTATCAACTATTCCACTTGCTTCTTGTATGTGGTAACTTATTGATCTAAGCCACACACATTCTCGACAGGCTTCGTGAAGTGCAATGGTTTCTGCATAATTCGAAGATGTTGCAACCAGAGTTTTCTTCTGCGAACGCCAAGAGATCGCTGTCCCACTAATTGTAAAAATATAGCCGGTTTGCGAACGAGCCTTATGAGGATCTGATAAGTATCCTGCATCTGCAAAACCAACCATACCAAACTCGGGTTTTCTAAAGTACATTAATCCTAGGTCAACTGTACCTTGAAGGTAACGAAATATGTGTTTGATTCCCTTCCAATGTCTATGAGTAGTAGCCGAACTATATCTTGCAAGAAGATTAGTGGGAAAGGCAATATCAGGTCTGGTACAGTTCGCTAGATACAACAATCCACCGATAGCACTCATGTAAGGTACTTCTGGACCTAACATCTTTTCGCTATTTTCACAGGGTCTAAAAGGATCTCTCTCAATATCGAGAGTCCAACCACCATTGGAGTACTCAAAGGAGTTGCTTTGTCCATACGAAAGCGTTTCAATAACTTTTTTGTATAATTTGATTGATGCACCAATATACCTTCTTGGAGATGCTCAATCTGGAGCCCAAGACAACACTTTGTGTTTCCGAGATCTTTCATATCGAAATCTTCTTTCATATGAGTTCGTGCATCATCAACCTCCTTTTGAGTTCCAATAATGTTCAGGTCATCAACATATACAGCAATGATCACAAAGCCAAATGACGATTTCTTTATAAAAACGCATGGACATATCGCATCATTCACATATCCTTTTATGTATCCAAAGAGATAGATCATGAAAGTGATGATCCTGATCCAAGGTGCATTTTAGAATGTATGAAAAGACATAATTGGGAGGAGTGGAAGAAGGCCACATAAATTGAATTACTCTCCCTGAATAAAAGGAATGTCTTTGGACCTATAGTCGTAACGCCTGAAAATGTAAATCCTGTTGGGTATAAGTGGGTATTCATGAGAAAAGTAAATGAAATGAATGAAGTAACACGATATAAAGCCCGATTAGTGGCCCAAGGTTTTTCTCAGAGACCGGGAATTGATTTTCAGGAAACGTATTCCCCGGTAATGGATGCAATTACGTTTAGATTTTTGATAAGCCTTACGGCGTCAAAGAATCTTGAAATGCATCTTATGGACGTAGTGACTGCATACTTGTATGGATCATTGGATAATGATATATACATGAGACTCCCTGAAGGATTGAAAATGCCAAAGGCATTGAAAGAGAAACCCAGAGAGATTTGTTCGGTCAAATTACAGCGATCACTTTACAGATTAAAGCAAGCTCAAGAGATAAGAACATATTTATTTATTATTTATATTATATATAAGTGGACGCTGGCAAGAGAGGGAGAGAGAGCAAATGGTGATCTTGATTATTTATGTATGTGTGTGAATAAACGAGAAAGAGATAAAGATGTGACAAACTTTCTATTTATAGTACAAAATAAAATGCTTACTCATCTCTTCTTGAGAGATGTAGAGACACGTAGTAATAACAAGATGATGTTACAACATGACAAGTGTCTTGTGGATAATCATCATATTATAATAGATACATGTGTATTATTGCTTACATGATTGATTTATAGGGTTCATGATCATCTAATGAAACAAGTGGAATATCACATTATATATATTCACACAATGTTGGCTTCTTTTGTCTTGTTGTTCCAGCAATTTCTTCTCATTTTCTGGGCCACAGTTATCATTTTAAATGGTAAAGGCCCATTATTCTTTACTAAGGCCCATTATAAAAGAAGCCCTAATTCCGAGTAAAACCTAGCTCTGCACAGACTATATAATCAATTTACACTCTCATCCGCTTCCTCCTTCACAGAAAAAAAAACCCTAGAGAGAGAGAGAGCTTCTCCATTTCCAAAAACCCGGCGGCGAAGATGAAGTACAACCCAAGAGTCACCTCCTCTCGCAGGAAGAACCGTAAGGCTCACTTCACAGCCTCATCAAGCGAGAGACGCGTCATCATGAGCTCACCTCTCTCCACCGACCTGCGCCAAAAGTACAACGTCAGATCCATGCCCATCCGCAAGGACGACGAGGTTCAGATCGTTCGTGGGACCTACAAGGGACGTGAAGGGAAGGTCGTCCAGGTGTACCGTCGTAAGTGGGTCATTCACATCGAGAGGATCACTAGGGAGAAGGTGAATGGGACCACTGTGAATGTCGGAGTTCAGCCTTCGAAGGTTGTGATTACGAAGCTGCGTTTGGACAAGGACAGGAAGTCTTTGTTGGAGAGGAAGGCGAAGGGACGCTCTGCGGCTGATAAGGAAAAGGGGACTAAGTTTACCGCTGAGGATGTTATGCAAAACGTTGATTAAACAAACATAAGGTTTATCTTTTAGTTTTGATTATCAGCAACTACTCATTTTGTTTTGTTCGAATGTTTAATTTATGTTGCGGACATGAGAAAGTATCATTTCAATTTCGTTTATGAGTTTGACTCTTTGGCCATTTTCTATTAATGCTTTTTGATATGAATGTTTGATCTGTTGATTGTAGTTGCGAGATTGATGTGTGAGTCATTGATTTTGGTAGCTAAGGGATGGGTTTTTTTTTTTTTTTTTTTTTGATCAAAGGGGATGGGTTTTTAATGATGTGTTTCTCTAAGAAAATGAATTTATTCGGAGTCGTTGATCACTGTTTGAGGTTCCATTTATAAGTTATGGGAATATATTTCTGTGTGACTAATTCGTCCTATGAAGAAATCATTGTTGTTTGTAGAACTGAAAGATCGACTTGAAAATGATATTTGGCATGGCATAAACTCTTAAGTTTAATAGAAAATCCTCCTTATAAATCAATTTCATTTCTTGGAATTTCGTCTGGTTCAGTTCATCGATTTTATAATGCTTTTTCTTGTTGGTATACAAATTTCTTATTGACGATTTGCGAATCATGTTGCTTCAAACTACTTTTTCAGTAACCCAATATAATGGCTGAAACATTTAAATTATATAGGACAAAGACCAAATTTTGAATTCTAACAAACACACCCATTTTATACGTTTCTCTAAAACTGATAAAATTGTTTAATTTGTTCATGAAAATGAACTCGAACAACAATAAACTACGTGAGGTTTACAAAGGATCATCAGCTGTAGCTCGTTGTCGCATGGACACATTTTTTTCGCATGTCCACATATCCAAGGCAAGAGGGTCTCGTGCCCAAAACGAACATAGGAGAATTCAACTTGTAAAGAAATTGACATAACTGTTTCATTGAGCATGGTTCAAGAATAGCCTAAAAACAACAAATCCGATAATTTTCCAAGAGAAGATTTACCTTCCCCAACTCATATTATTTTACTGGAAGAAAATGCAAAACCGAAACTCAAGCCCCACAACAATGGCATACGAGAGAGAAAGAAAGGTAACCAGTACTTGTATTAGCTACTGAGCTGCTCTTCAAGGTTTAAGAGCAAGCGAGAGACCAAACCTTGGGTACTTCTCCAACGTCTTGGTATCGATCTCTCCTGAGATTGTCACAATCGATTTCGGCAGTACCTCATGCTGCACAAGAGCTCCAAGTTTACCATTACTGTTCAGCTTAGCTTTCACACTCGTCAAGTGATCAACTGCATACAATCCACCGACAGTAATGACGTTCTCATTCGTCGAGAATTTCCTGTAAACCTCTCCCACTGCAGCGCTGCTCTTTGACTCATCTAGGTGTTGAAGAAAAGAGGCTTTGATCGAATCTGCTTTATCTCCACTGGTAACCCAAAAAGAGTTTCAGATTAACATTAAATAAAGGGAAGCTCTCATGAGCTTTTGATTAGTAAGGACAAAGGAGTCTCTTTTAATGATCTTACAGTATAACAGAGGCACATTTATCAGGCTTAGTGACACTGATTCCGAAGTTGTACTTTGTGAAAGACCGAGAAGTGGTGTCGTATCCAGCTTCAGCACCGAATGAGATAGTTGGTGAACCGAGAGTAGCTGTCACATCAACCAGAGGGTTTTGTTTCAAAGCTGCAGTTGCTGTAACCGTCGCGTGATCATGGAAGTATTGAACCTCAAGCTGCAAAAAAGAAGGGTTATAAATTGAGAAGGCTGGAGAAACATTATAGATAAGGTAAATAGAAATCACCTTGCTAGAGTTGTAATCAGGGACTTTGAAGGAGGCAATTGCTTTTGTAGATGGAAGGATCTCAGTGATTGTGATAGTTGTCATCAGCTGACAAAAGTTGAAAAAGTAAGTTGAAAAAAAACCCAAAAGTTGTTATGAGTGATGGAAAAGGAGAGTTGTAATTTGTGAGTACAATGGAATCAGTGTCGATCTTGATGTCAAAGAGAGCGTTTCTGTATTTGTATTGAGTAGAAACATCAGCAGCATGGACAACTCCTTTCTTAAGAACAGTTGAAGTAAGAGCCTACGGAAAAAAACAAGTGTCAGTGGATGCAATGCAGAGTTTTAAGTAACTGATATGTTCCACACATCCTTGAGAGATTCCCACCCAAGTCATTAATGTAAATCACTAATAAACATGTTATTATAAGCTAAGCAATTCAATTAAAATGTTCATGTTATGCTCAGTGGCTAAGCTACAAGGATAGTTGTTTTTTATTTCAAACAATTTCTAGATACTACAGTAACTCCGAAACTGAGCTGAACTTTAATACCTAAACATGAATTTGAAAAACTTACAAGGCCGGAGAGAGTGTTAGTGGAGATACTGAACTTCTGATCGGTGTTGTAATCTCTCGTCAACAGATCTATTTAACAAACGAAACACTGAAGAATCAGCTTAAACCTAGATTTCATCAGCTTCGCCGTCCGGAAAATTGATGCACCGGCGACGTCACAGTACGTGGCGGGATATCGAAACCTAACGGAAGTGGAGAGTGGAAGAACTTTTACCTCTGGCTTTTTTGCCGATGTCGGCGAATAGTCCCGGTCCCTTACTCATCCCCCCCAGAGATCCGAAACCAAGAGAGAGAGAGGAGAGCACGAGAGGCGAATCCACAAGGTCTCAAATATACAATAGACTTGAGTGAAGAGTGAATATATAAACAGGTATTGTTAACATTTAACAAAAACGGTTTCGTGGTGTAGTCGGTTATCACGTCAGTCTAACACACTGAAGGTCTCCAGTTCAAACCTAGACGAAGCCAATTCTTTTTTTTTTTCTTTTCGAAATAAAATATTTAGGCTTCCATCGTCGTCAGCCCATTGAGTTTTGGGCTAACATCTAAACCCAATAACAGCTCTATGGATATAACCACTGTTAGAAATGACGCTAGGCGCTAGTTGGGCGGCTTGGTTAGGTCTAGCGTCTAAAGAGAAAATCGGGGATTAATCGGGACCTAGTTTTTACGCATATATGTCTAATATATATTATTTGTGGAATGTACATATGTTTCTATGATAGTGTAGTGGCTTTAGAGTTGTTTTGTCCACGTTGGGTGCAGAGTTCAAGGAACATTTTGGCCACTTGTCTCTTTTTTATTTATTTATTAAGTTCAGGGCAAAATAGTAATTTAATTATTGTCTTCCCCACAGAGTTTAGACATGGCCGCCTTTCGACTTATACTCATCAAAACTCAGTTTCAACATCTCGTTTTTCATGATTTATGCATGAATATGATAGACTTGAGTCGTATTATACTAATTAAAATGCTAAAACTTGACAGTGATTTTTTTTTCCGATTTTATAACCGATTTGGCCAAATCGCTACGCTCATGAACCGCCCAACGCCTAATCGCCGTATAATCGGTCCGCGTTTTAGAACCAGGGATATAACTAAGGCATAGTCGTGTGAGTCTTGTCTCCGTAGTTCGTACCCACTTACGACTATGATCCACTGAAGCCGGGTTGAATGTATCGACAAATTCAACAGTGTCAACACTCTACGTTGTGAACATAGTTGTTCATCTTTGGCTTATTGATTGTAAATTTCAATTAAATATTTTACACAAAGACTTAATTCTTTTTTTTTTGGGTCATCAATCTATTTAATCAAACTAAAAAAAACATTTGATTCAAAGAACCAAATTGAGTACAAAATCCACTATAGGTGAATGACGAATGACACGAACAAAAACTTAAAATAGGCGATGATAGAACAAAATGAGTAAATATTTGGTGTTTTCTATTTAGAGATTATTTGCTCCCACACCCTAAACCGACCCTCTATTTCACGGTTTACCTATGCTTTGACACCTCTCATTTCTTTGACGAAAATGCCCCTTCTTCTCTCTCACCCTACTCTCGTAGACCTGTGGCCTTAGACCATGCATGCATCGTAGCAGGCAACTTTTCTGATAACAATAAAGCATATTATGTTTTAACCATCCAAATTTAAATTTTAAATTAAGTTCATCATTTTTCTCTATTAATCTCTTTTATTTCACAACCCGAAACTGATTTTCAGTTTCTCCTTTTTACTTGTACAAAAGAAACAATAAATCTCAAACGAAAACAACCATCTAATTCCTTTGTTTCTTTTCGAGTTTGTAATGAAAGATCTAATACTTCCTCTGCGTATATTCTTATTGGGTGATGAATCAATCGGTGAACGAGTCAACTGGTATCACATGACTCGGAGAACAGAGTCGCTTATTGAATCTCTAGACGAGGAAGAGATGGAGTTCTTCAAAAATTCCCAGTTTTCTAAGGTTATCGCTTTAGAAGAGAATCCACCTTGGCCATTTCATTTTTGGTTAGGATGCTGAAGACGAAGAAGAAGTACGAGATATAGTTGGTTTTCGCCGGAAGACCAATTAGAATCTCCCTTAGGGAGTTCGTTATTGTTATTGGTCTTAACTGCAACATGATTCCTAATCAGACGCGAAAAAGAAGAAAGAATCCTCTCAAAGAGAAACTCTATTGGAACGAGATGTTTCGCTCTCTTAAATCGTGTTCTGTGGATAATGTTATTGACATGCTCAAGACCCGCAAGTTTAAGGATAGAAATACCAGGATTAAATTTTCTTGTTTAGCAATTACTACTTCAGTCCTACTTCCATCTTCTCACATTCCGAAGATTGTTCCTGAACATGTTGAGTTAATTAGGGAAATTGATGAGTTTCTTGCTTATCCATGGGGGCAGATTTCTTTTCAACTGGTAACGACAACCTTACTTAAGAAGGATGCTCTTGCACTTGCTCAAGACTCTTTTGCACTAAGAGGTTATGTGGAAGCTATACAACTTGTCATGATTGATGTTGTCCCTGCTTTAAAAGAAGAAGTCATCACGACTGCCCTTGTTGTTGTTGTTGAATCAAAGAGTGAGAGCGAGAGCGAGAAGCCTGCTGAGGAGGAACAAGTGGTTGGAGAAGACTCTGGAAGTTTGGAGAAGGTTAACTCCTCCGCGAGATTTATCGTTAATCCCCAAAATGTCAGGGACATCAACGTGGAATGCCAGGTTTGACATCCATCTGGCTCATAAGTACTTGTTAATATAAATTAGCAGTTACCGGCATTAGTAGGTGCTAACCAATTAGTTTACATCCATCAGAGTAGGTAAAATAGACGATGAACAAAATGAGTAAATATTTGGTGTTTTCTATTTAATATATCACTTTGAGTCAGTTTTTGAGTTTTAATACCACTCTAGGTACATTTCAGCTACTGAGATAGTTTTAAAACTGTAAAGACCAATATGATCCTTATTAAATTCAGCTTTAACCAACTAAATCATTTTTTTTCTTTTTATCACGTGTCTTTTGAATAAAAATTCAAAATTACCGAATTATGTGATGTCATGCTATCAATTACCCAAGGCGACTGCAAAGAAACTGGCAAGTGCGGTAGCTCAGTTCTGGTGGAGCCCAGATGGGAGCAAAAAAAGTATGCACTGGAAATCATGAGATAAATTAAGTTTACCTAAGGATGACGGAGGTTTGGGTTTCAAAGACCTTACAGATTTTAATATGGCGATGCTTGGTAAGCAGCTTTGGCGATTGATTGAGAAACCCAATACTTTATTCGCACAAGTTTTTAAAGATCGGTATTTGAGGAACGCTTCACCCCTGGATCTGGTATTTGAGGAACCCTCGTAAAGGCCTCGTAACCCTAAACGCGGGCATAGCTATTTCCTCGTAAAATTACTAGGATCTTACGAGAAAAAAAAATTCCCTATATAAACTCAAGCCATCCGATTTCTCTCATTTGTAGCAATCTTCTCTCTAGATCCTCTTAAGGTTCTCGCTATTTCCTACGGGCATAACTGTTTCCTCGTAAAGGTTGTTCCTCATAAAGTCCTAGTAACACTGTTACTAGGACTTTACGAGGGAACCTAAACGCGGGCATAGCTATTTCCTCGTAAAGGTCTCGTAATCCTAAACGCGGGTATAGCTATTTCTTCGTAAAATTACTAGAATCTTACGAGGAAACAAAATTCCCTATATAAACTCGAGCCATCCGATTTCTCTCATTTGTAGCAATCTTCTCTCTAAATCCTCTTAAGGTTCTCTCTATTTCCTAGTTAGGTGATTAGATTAGGGAATTTAGATTAGGTGGTTAGTTTAGGGAATTTAGATTAGGTGGTTAGTTTAGGGAATTTAGATTATGTTAATTAGTTTTTTTTATAACTTTTTTTAAATGATACTAGTATATTAATGTTTTAATTTTTTTTTGAAATTTAGATGACTAGAAAGAGAAGCTTGATATGGCTAAGAGACCTCTTAAGGGGAGTCATTACAGAGATATGTTCGGTCTTCAGCCTGGTCCTCACATAGGCGCATCATCTTCTTCAGCTCCCGGTTCTTCGATTCCGGATGACGTTGTTCCCGAGACTCAAGGAGTTTCTACGGCTCCCCGGTTTGATCCACCACCTCCTCCTCCTCCTTCACCGGTAGCCGGGGTTCATCCCGATTTGGAGGTGTCGACAAACGCTCCATTTGCGGTGTATACGGTCGAGGATATTATGGCCCTTCCAGGCAGAAAATGGCTGCCTGAGTTGGATCATGTCCGACAGGACAGCAGCAACATATTATGGTATGTTTTAATTTTTAAAAAGTGTTTTTATTTTATTTCTTAATTAACCAAAAATTAACAAATTAATGTAATTATTTTTTTTTATTTTTTTTCTTTCCAGGTTTGGTCTTGACGGATGTGTCGCTCAGAGCGTCACAGATTGTATCAAGGGATACTTTCCCGATCCAGCTCCAAACTGGAAAAAGACGCCCAGCCACACAAAAAGACGTGGTTCAAATCGTTCGCTGTAAGTCATTAATTAATAAACTTAATTTATTTTTAATTATTTAAATTTTTAATATTATTGAACTAATTACTTTCATTTTTCTGGTTACAGCAAAAATATCGTTGGTCTATATAGATTCACCAGCGGGTGACGACGAAGATTGAGGCGAAGGCAAAAGCGTGATTGCTCGACATGGTCTACAACTGGAAGGGCGACTTTCAGGTGTGGATTTATAAATTATATATATATAGTTTTATATCATTGACTTTAATTCAAATCATTTTAAAATTATTTTTTGTTCAGGTGGATGGTTACGAGGAGGGGAAACCCGATTGCCTCACATTGGACGTGTGGAATGGCCTCATCAGATATTGGGGGTTACCGGACTCGGTTAGAACCTCCCACACAAACTCCGAGAACCGCATGACAAGAGACGAGCATGGCAACACGAAGATGCTTCACACCGGGGGTCAAAAATCTCATGGGGGAATCCGTCTAGACATGGTAAATTAATTTTTAATAACTAATTAATTTTTACTCTATTTGTATATTCCTAATTAATATTTAATTTTAAAAATTATTTTTAGGTTAAAGAGACATGAGTTCTTCCATCTCTGAAAGAGCTTTACGAGAGGACCCACCGGAACAAGGCTGGGCATTTTGTAGATCCTAGATCCGAGCGGATCTACAACGAGGTTGTTGCTCGGGTTGACCAACGCCAGACCCATCTAACTCAGCAGTCTGGGACACCAGTCATATTATCCGCTCTTGAAGTGGATAAGATTTACAAGGAGGTAAATAAT